TTGAGACAGGGTCTCGATATGAAATTCAGGCTGGCCTCAAACTCATGGCCATCCTTCTTCCTCAGCCTTCTAAGTACTGGGATTCCAGGAGAGTGCCACCATGCCCAGCCTTACTGCAATTACAAAAGTTAATCAAACTGTACAAGTTGTAGAATGTAGTAATTCACAGTATTGTACAGCCAGCACTGGCATTTATTTCCACAAACTTTTCCACTATTCCCAAGAAGACACTGTATCCATGAGAGTTGAGAATTAGGCCTGCTTCTTCCTCTAGCTTGATTTTATTTATTTATTCATTTATTTATTTATTTGAGACAGGGTCTTACTGTGTAGTTCAGGCTGGACTTGAACTCACTGTGTAGCCCAGGCTGGTCTTGAACTCACAGCAATTCTACTGCCTCGGCCTCCCGAGTGTTGTGAACCACCATACCCTGGCTTGGTTTTTGTTTGTTTGTTTGTTTGTTTCGTTTTGTTTTTGTACTGAGTATTGAACTCAGGCCCTTGTGCTTACAAGCCAGGCGGAGAAACCACTGAGCTAAATCCCTGGCCCTGGCTTGGTTTTAATTACAGAATAAGCTAATTTATTTTGCTTAATGTTTGTTTCCCTACCACCACCCGCGTGAAAGTCCATCCAGGATGGGATCTTTATTTTGCCTGCTGTCAGACCCCCAAGCCCAGCACAGGGTACTCAGTGGCTGCCTGTGAATGATGGTAGCTGCTGGGTGAATACAGTCCACATCCCAGTATCCTGACAAGTGGCCTTGAAACCGGCCACAGATATGTTTGTTGGCCTTTCACAGTGTTTTAGGAATATGTGAGTTTGTGGCCAATATCTAAAGATTAAAGCACTTTAACTTTTTTTTTTTTTTTAAATGGCCTCCTAGTTTCTCCTGAGAAACCAGAGTGTTTGGCTTCCCTGGGCCTCACAACTTGGGCCCAGTAAAGAGACCCCACCTGTAGGGCAGTGTGTAGCCCCCACAAGTGTTTTTTGGAGACAGAGGCTTTCTCCTCTCCAGGAGTCTAGCAGTGGACACCCTGTACCCAGACCTGGTAAGAAATGGTGGAGATGTGGAGGGAGAACTTAGAAAATAGCCTTGCTACCTGTACCATCTGGAATATGGCCACCCCAGGGTCTTCATGCAACTGTATAATCTGCCTGTGTGGGGCTTTACCTGTGCAGAGGGAAAAGGCCTCTGTTTGGAGAGAGGGTCTTGGCAGGTCTCGTGGTCACCTGCCTGGGAACTGAGGACAAAAGAGCTGGAGGGAGCGTGAGGGATCAGAACCAGGGACAGCTGTTGTCAGGGCCTCAGGTGTGGGGAGGGAAGAGTGATGTCCAACTAGGAACAGAGGTTGAATGAGGAAAGTGGCTGCCATGTGGCAGATAGTTTTAAGTCATTATTTTCCATTTCACTAGCAATGCACAAATGTTATCGAAAATACTATTAAAATATTAGAAGGAGGGGTGGGGATTTAGCTCAGTGTGCCACCTGCTGCCTTGCAAGTGCAAGGCCCTGAGTTCGATCCCCAGTACCAAAAAAAAAAAAGCAAGGGATGTGTATACAACTCTAATTATAAGTCATGGGTTCTGCTTTGGAGGATTTCCTGATACACTTCTTTTTATAGACAAAACATTGTCACCAAGACGTTTTTCCTTGGTGACCTGCCTTTTCCACAAATCTCAGTGCACCTGCCTGGCGCATTTCCTGTGGCTGGTGTTAACTCCTTGGGAGTGCCTGTCTCTAGTGCCTCTAGGACCCTCCCGGACACTCCCTTTGCACTGTCCTTAGGTCTCATTGGGACAAATCTTCAGAAGTGGATCTGTAGGGATTTTTGTTTTTCAGATAGGGTCCCTCTGTGTACTTCAGGCTGGTCTCAAACTTGCAGCAATCCTCCTGCCTCAACCTCCTAAGTGCGGGGATTATAGTTGTGTGCCATCACACCTGGCCTGTGGAACTATGGGTTTAAAAAAAGCCAGAGTGGAGGACCTTCCTTGGAGCTGAGCAGGGCAGTGCTCTGCAGGCCCGAGGGCTTCCTCAGAATCTACCCCTGTTGGGGATTTAGCTCAGTGGCACTATGCCTGTTTCACAAGCACAATGTCCTGAATTCATATCCAGTACCAAGAAAAAAAAAAATCTACCCTATGACAGGCTGGGGGGAGGGTCTGGGCACAGCCATGTAGATGCTATAGGATTAAGAAGTCATTTCTACACCTGTGCTATCACCTTAACCAAAAAATCATGAAAGCAGGTATTTCTTTGAAAATATTTTGGTGTTACTTTTCTGTTGTATAAATGCTATTATTTGACCAAAACAACCACAGAATTAATTGACAGTGGTGATTAGTAGTAATCCCTAGGCAGAATAATGATAAAAAAATTTTCTGATGACACAATTTATTTGAAATTTTTAAACACTCTTTATTGAGCTGAGTACAGTATCGCACACATGTAATCCTAGCATTCCGGGAGGCTGATACAAGAGGATCACAAGTTTGAGCCCAGCCTGGGCAACTTAGACCTGTCTCAAAATAAAAAATAAAAGGGGGCTGGAGATATAGCTGAGTGCAATGGCCATGGATTAAATCCCAATCCTCCCCCAAAAGCCCTCTTTATTGGATATTTACATCTTGTGTTCAATGTTATTCTGTATTCTGAAGACATATCAATGTACATTGGTGAGATAAGTGCAGATTCACACGTACTGACAAGAAGTAATATACTGCACTCTTCCCCCCAATGGCAATATTTTGCTAAAATAGTATATCAAGTGGAGATGTGAACATTGATTCTGGCTTCCATTTTATTCAGATTTCCCCAATTCGCTACTTTTTTATGTGTTCAGCTTTATGGGTCTTGTCTCACATGTACAAAATGTGTGGTATGGGTTTAAATAAAAAATTATTACAGTAAAACACACAATGCCAATAATCTCCCTCAAAATATTCTCCTTTGCTTTGATGCACTTATCCCATTGTTCTTGCCACTTTCTGAAGCAGTTCTGGAAGCCCTCTTTTGTGAGTGTCTTTAACCAGGCATGATAAAAACTGTAGTAAAGACTGCTTCTGTGGGCCACCCAAATGAAAGGCAGACTCACGCACTTTATTCACTGGATCTGGCACCATGTGACTTCTGGTTCTTCCCCAAAGTCAAACTGACCAGTGAAAGGTGGATGTTTTGAATCCATTCAGGAGATCTATGCAGCCTTAACAGCACAACTAAAGACACCCCTTTACCTGCTGATTTTTACCCCTTATCCTTAACCCATGCACTCATCTGGCCTATGTTTCTAAACCATTGTGATTTTCTTTTATTTTTTTGGTACTGGGGATTGATCTCCAGACCTTGTGCTTGCGAAGTAGGTGGTGGAACCACTGAGCTAAATCCCTGGCCCAAAACCACTGTGATTTTTAATATTATATAAATGGAGCAGACAATATGAGCCCTTCTGAGATGAGCTTTTCTCACTCAGCATCATTGCCTGGAGAGTCCAGGTCATTTGTGTCAATGTTTGGGTCCTTTTTAATGGAAGACCTTTTTTTTGGGCAGAATTGAAAACTGAACCAAGGGGGTGTTAAGCCATACCCTGCCCTGGCCTTTTCAGTATTTTAAGGTCTAAAATGAACTTTCGATCCTCCTCAGTCTCCTCAGTAGCTGGGATCACAGGTGTACCCCACCATGACTGGCTTAATGTAAGATTCCTTAAAAAGGAAAATATAAGTACTGGGATCAATAAATAATATTGCATTTATTTATTTTTTCATTGTGGCACTGGGGTTTGAACCCAGGACCTTTGCACTGAGCTACATCCTCAGTACTTTTTATTTTTTATTTAAATTTTTTGGGGGTACTGGGGATCAAACTCAGGTCCTTGTGCTTGCATGGCAGGCGGCAGAATCACTAGCTAAATCCCCAGCCCAGCCCTTTTTAAATTTTGAGAAAGGGTCTTTCTGAGTTGCTAGCTTGCCCAGCCTGGGCTTGAACTTGTGATCCTCCTGCCTCAACCTTCAGAGTGCTAGGATTACAGATATGTTCAGATGGCCCTTTATGCTGCCTGTGGTCTTTCCATCTTCTCCCCACCATGAGGAAGGTCAGAACACAGCTGAACACATGATCCCGACTGAGGCACAGCTCTGCCTGGTGAGGTGCTGACACACTCATGGCTGGTGTTTCCAGAAACCCCAGGCTTCCGACCTGCAGGAATTAGCTTCTGGCTCTCAAAAAATGTCCGCTCTGTGTGTCCACAGGTTTATTTTGGTCAACCAGCTGTTTGTTAATCGAGCCCTCTGCTATCTATACATTTATCACATGGGCTGGCTGAGTCTAAACGTCTGCTTTTAAACACTGAAGCAATCAAAAGTCATAGTAAGAAACTTTTTCTCCAGGAAGATGTTTTAACGTGTTCCTCCTACCTTGCCCAGCCATAGTACATGTATGACTGTCCCATGTCATCCAACGGGAGAGTCATGCATATACCACCGGTGGTTCAGAGCTGCCAGGCAGCAAGGCATGAATTACAGCCCCACCATGAACAGGTTAAAGCCCAAAGATAATGGAAACCTGAGCCTAAGTTGGATTTCACATCAGTCACGACATTCTTTTGAGTTCTGAAGCAACCTTATTTTCAAAAGTGAATTCTTTTTCTTTTTTTTTTTAATTGAATTTATTGGTATATTCTAGGTAGACAGTACAGTTACATTCATTACTGGGATCTTGTACCTTTACATGTCTCCTCCCCTCCCCACCTTCAAACACTTTAATTCCATTTTTA